AGAATTCTAATCAATTAACTATTTTTAGTAAACATACCTGGATGGAGTTGTATTGTATCCCATAAGAGAATCATAACATAGTTGATTCAGGCGCGTACGCAGGAATTTGGTCTGGGGGGGGGGGATAATAAATTTTTTCAAGAAATATTAATGTTTTTTAAAAATATCAAGCATAAATTTATTAGGACTAATAACTATTTCTAATACACAATTTTAAATTAATGTGAATTATAAAAAATTTATATGTATAAATCGGCATATAAAAAACTATAAAATAAATCTGAATTAAAAAATACTAAACGGATATAATTGGCAGTATATGAAAAACAATGTGAATTATAAAATATAAAGTGAATATAACCATTATAAGAATCACTTAAATGACACAAAATAAAAATTTGAATTTTTTGAGCCTTTAAAATTTATATATAAAGTATAAAAAATTTAAATGTTAGAAATATAAATTATTACACAGAAGTTTCTTAGGAATAATTGTATTTTGTGTGTTATATATTTACAATGTAAAAAATCTTCGTTGGGATTGTGCTAATTTTCCAATTATCTCATCCTTGCTTGTTGTCAAATGCCTATTTATATTCAAAAAATCCAAACCTTTCAATCTACTTTCAGAAGTTGTACTTCTTAATATGTTTTTCAGAGACCTGCAGGCCCGGCCCCCGGATCGGACCGTATTTTAATTTTTTTTTAAAAAAACACCCGGGCCGGGCCTGAATTTTTTTAAAAAAATATCCGGGCCTTGCTGTATATTTTTTAAACAGCCTATATTTGAAATAGTTATTATTAGCTATAAAAATCAAAAATAAATATAATTTATTTTTTAAAAATCAGGGCCGGTCATTAAAATTTTATTTTAAAAACAGCCGGGCCGGGCCTGAAAATTTTTTTAAAAAAAATCCGATCCGTGCCCTAAAAATGGTACCTCTACAGAGCTCTGTTATTCTTCTTAAAAAATAGAATGTTCTCTCATTAGTTTACTAATAGGAAGAGTTGCTAAGATATATAAACCCTTTTAATACATGGTTGAGACTATATCATCCATAGTTAATCTTATAAACATAGTTATTCAACTAATAAGGCATCATAAGATACTTTAACATCTTCATGATAAAAATCTAACAAATATTTTTTTCTATCACCATCTGAAAAAGGTTGGGAAGGCTTATGTGGAAGTAATATTTTCAGATTGGTAAGTGTTGCACGATGAATTAAAAACCATTCATTTATTTGGGTTATAAATATATCTAAGATATAAATATATAGATGCACTCTTCTACTGATCCTATATTAATATTTTAACGATGAGCTTGCCTTGCTGCAAGTCGAGGGAGACAAATATTAAACACGTATAGCTCTGCTTTTGACTCAACAATAAATTATGAAATTCTTCATCAACATTAGCCCTAATTTCCTTGAGTTCTGATAAAATGCTCTCCGCTATTCTCATCTTCTTAATCAAGTCAATGTCATGTATTTGAAATACTTAAAATAGTTGTATAATTAAATAATACATTCTAATGAGAAATAAAATTTGGAGTAAGCATTGAATCCAATAATTTTCTTGCTTCTGTGGAAATATTTCTTTAAGGCCATTGTGATATTTCAGTAATAGCAAATAATTGGCTCTTCTAACTCCTTAAAAGCTGTTACTGCTTGATGGCAGAGACTCTATCTCGTTGGACGAGGTTGGAATTTCTTTTTCCCTGTTGGACAAGAAGTTTCAGAAATAATTATTTTTTGACTAGAAATTTGAAAATGGAAGATAAAAATTACGCCAATAAAAATTTGAAAATAATAAGTAAATATTACGCCGGAAAACTTAAAATCGAAATTAATTGATAAAATAACATAGTAGATGAATGTGATAATAAATGTAATTAAATATATAATTAATATGAGATAGGAATAAATATTAACAAATATAAATTAATATAAACAATAATATTTTTGAAAAATATATCCGGCATCTGCATTTTTTGGCTTGGGGGGGGGGGGGAGAGGATTTGCCCCGCTGCGTACGCGCCTGAGTTGATTTATAGCGAGCAGTAAATTGTATATATTTTGAGAAATCTTTTATAATCTAACCAGGGTAACCATTAGTTTTAGATAAAAGGCATTTTCCAAATATTTCCAAATAAAATTTATGGATTCCTCCGATTATACCGGAAATATATTTTTAAACAATTCTGTTATTTATAAAAAAATTATTAAATAATTTTATTTATGACGGACCTAAAAATTCAAAGCTATTCACTATTCATGATAATTCTTAAATATTTAATCATTATTTATCAAACTCAGAAATATTATATTATCATTTTAATTTTTTTTTTACCTATATCAATATAATTACAAGAAAAATTACATATACTATATCGAATTATATAATAATGCAAACATAAAGGTATATTTTTTTAAAAAACTGCAATTATTTGTTACTATTCAGATAAATATATCTAATTTTGATCAAACATCTTTTTTTAATAGTTTTATTTAGGTATAGAGGATATTTTAGTTAAACGTATAATGCATGCTTCATGCATCATATATTTGAAGGTTCAATTTGAATAAAAAAATTATTAGACTGACCATGCTCATTAAATATAAAAAAAATTATCGAAATAAATTATGCAAACTATTGGATGATAAAATGTCTAATAATTTTTAGGTATTAAACAAATTAAATTTAGGAAAAAAATATTGGTTGTATTTTTAGCCAGGTAATTAATATTATTATTTGAAATAATCCCCTCGAAATATTTTATGATAAATATAGGTAAAAGCCTAGTATAAAAAGTATTTTCTTTCTCCGATTTATATTGGTCATTTATAATATAGGAATTCATATACAACTAGGTAAGATTTAATAAAAACAGAAAATAGAGCTAATATAAAATAGATTACATTTTTTTAGAGCTAGTTAAGTCAATTACAATATTTTAATTAAAACATTAGGAGATTTAATCAGACAAGTAAATCTATACCCTAAATTTCTCTTCTTTTTTTAACTTGGCTGGCATCATTTTATATACTATATATAGGAGATTAACTTGCTTACACCAAACCCCAGGACTGCGAGTCAGGACTAAAAGTTTTTTTTAAAAATAAACAATAACCTGAATCATTTTATTAAACCAACAAGGACAAAATATAATAAACTTAAATTATACCAATTATCCATTTTAAAAAAAATAGCAAGATGGATCATTTATTCACCCATTCACCTTTCATATATTCGACTTCCCTTTGAATGTTTTACAAGATATAAAGACGTTAAGAAAGATCTGGGATGATAAAAAACCATGCGTCGGATAAGGACTGTATAATAAATTTTTAAAAAGATACGAAAATATAGGCTTTGGGATAATTTTCAACAAAAAAAAATCTTAATTCCGATTGTTTTAGGATAAAAAAAAAGAAGAAAAAATATTAAATTAAATATTTGCGTATTATAATAGTTAAAAAAATGAATGTTAATACAAATATATTATATTATAGAGAAAGTAAAATATTTCTAGATAATATTAATTTATAAGATCAAATTATTTACTATTTTATTAATAAATAAAAAGAAAAAATTGGGTGAATTGAAAAAATTCATAGAAAATGCCCAAATTTAAATTATCTATTTTAAACACTTTTTTGCTTCAGGTTATTTTTTAAATAAAATCAATAAACAAATAATTTGCTCAAAAAAAAATTGAATATCAAAAAATCATCTCATTAATAAAAACAAAAAGACGAGGCATTTATTGATTGGATATTTTTTTCCGATAAACAAATAATAAATCAATACAAAAGCAAATAAAGGGGAGATAGATTAGATATTAGATGATGATAATCATATAATAATTGATATTTTATTGATTATAGATTTTATTATTTATTTTAGAATACCTGTAAAAAAATAATACAAGTTTTTTATAAAAAAGAAACTCTATTTTTAAAAAAATTATATTATTAAAAAAAATGGTTGTAAAAAAGTGATTTTAAAGAATATTGATTTTCAATCTGAATTGAATGTATAATCGAGACCTCCTAAAGTGGAGGTCACGGTGAGGGGGTCATTATAAAAAAGTAAGTTTTCGCGATTAAGATAGTTTGTAAAAGGGCGAAAATAAAATTAAAATTTCAAAGTATAGTTTATATGTTGTAAATTTAACGGCTCGATTTTTAAACACATTTAACCAGATATTTTAGCAAAAAAAAATATTAAGCAAGCTTGGAGATTTGCTCATAGATTTAGATTATTAACGAAATCTCAAGGTTTGAATAATATTATTTTGGCAAAAACTTTAATTAGACTAAATCAAGCCAACACAAGTTTACAGTTATAGAATTCTTTAGTGTTATAATTACAACTGAACTGTATAATGTATTTAAATTATTCTATTGAATTTCTTAATAAAAATGCTTTGCATATGGCAAAAAAAGGAAATGAACCAATGTGAAATATGAGTAAAGTTTGGATAAATTTGCAAAACCAATCTGTTTTTTTTAAACTAATCAAACGGTTATGTGAAAATAAACTATCTATCTATATTGAATCAACTTTCATTCATAGCAAATAAAATTATTTTTATGCAATTTATTTGTTGTGATATTGTATTTTTTAATTTTTTTAAAAAATATAATTAGATTTGATGCCCTTATAAATTAAACTTGAAATATCAAAATACAGTGTTGATCAGAGATTTGATGGAAAACATTTCTATATTTTTTAATTTATTTGAAAATAAAATTATTCGACTTGCAAAAAATTGTTAAAAATAATTTTATTTACAAACGAATTAAAAAATATGGGAATGTTTTGAATTAAATCTCACTTTATTTCCATTTTATTTAATAAAGAAAATTATTTATAAATTATAAAATGTTAGTATTGCCATAAATATTTTTGTTTCTCCATATTATCAAAATCAATTAATAAAATGAGATATTTATAATCTGCTTTCTCTTTTGCAATTTATAAAAATAATTACTTGAAATTTTGGCAGATCAAAAGTTTTCCAAAAGTTGAGCGTTGACAGTTGCAAAGGGGTTGAGGCCATTTTTTTTAAAAAATTCCGTCTAAAAATCAAATTCGGACTGTAAATTTTTAAAAAAAGATAAGAAATAAGAAAAAATTTATAAATTGAAATCAATATAAAAGTATATATTTTTTATATTTTATTTTTAGGCTTTGCCTTCCTTTAAATATTCACAAACGAAATACATTTTTTTACAACTTTCTTAAAATCATTAAAAAAAAATTTTAAAGTGAAAATAAAATAGACAAAAGAGTATGTACAAAGATTTGTTTGTATTGATTAAAGATTAAAATAATTTAATTAATTAGAATAAGTATTAATAATGTAATGAAACTGAAAAAAAAAAGAAAAAGTAAATTTTTTTTTGTATTGAATAAAAATAAATAGCTCCAAAGTTAACCATCATTACCATAATAGTCACTACATATGTAAGGTGCCATTAATGAATCACTATTATTGGCCTTTTTATATACAACAGGAAAACAATCACAAATTAAGAGTTGTATTTAAGATAATATAAAATAAGGCAGATCAATATTCAAATCATTTATTTTCTCTTTTTTTAAACTCTCTTAGCAAAAATAAATCTATATTATATTATTTACAAAATTGATAAAGATAGCGTTTTGATTCTAAAAATATAAAAAATCGTTTGGTATATTTTCAAAATCGTCTGTCTTACCACCTTGATTTTCAAAAAAGATAATATTATACTACTTTGATTACAACTTAAAAACTGCTAATTCAGATTAAAGGTATTAGTCATTGGGAGAATTGAATTTGGGCATTTATGTAAATTTGGAAATATATATATTTTTTGTGATAATTTATATCCTTTTTTAGCTTTTTATTACTATTATATTCTAAATATCATTTATTTATATATAATAAATTTATCAAAAATAATTTCTTACCATTCAATATTTGTGCATCTTCATGATTTTGAAGGTAATTTCATGGATTTATTATAAATGAATATTTTAAAAAATATGTTTTTGTAATCGCGATTTATATTTCTTTATAAACTACTTAAGTATATTTTTATTTTTAAAAAAAAATAAATCAAAAAAATAGAATAAAATAAAATCATTTTTATTAATTTTTTTTTTACTTTTTTTTTCAATATTTATTTTAAAAATATAATTTATTTATTTATTGCCATTTATTTTTTCTATCCTCTCTTTAACTAATTTAATAATTACAAACTTCTCAAAGTTGAGCATCGAAAATACCCAATATTTTCGCTCAAGTTACTCCCGTTTCTTTATGCCGGAAATTGAGCTACCATATTATACATATAAAATTATTTTATTTTTTTCCTAAGTTTATTCTTTGATCACAGAAGAAAGAAAGAAAGAAGATAATAAAATAAAGAAAAGAATAAATCTTAAATTTTAAAGAAAAAAAAAGGCACGTTTAATTTTTTTTAAATCGATTTATCACATGATTGATTTTTATTTATTTTTTCCAATCAATAAATAAATTTTATTATTTCTTTTTATTTTCTTTTATATCGATAATGTTTTATTTTATTTATACAAATAAATAAACTATTAAATAAAATACGTTCACAATATTTTGATCATTTTTTGAAATATTTATTTTTTTGAAATTTTAAATTATTGGCATAGAAACAAAATTAAAGGTTTTATATTTTATGCAATTATTACATAGATTTTGTGAGTGATTCATAGTTGATAAAATAATGGCTGCAAGCATTTTTGATATATCAAAGTGGGATCTAAGGAAATGTGACACTTAAAAAAATTTGTTTATTTATTTAAATATGAAATATTAATTTGTCTTAAAAGCACTTCGACAAACTAAACATAAGCAAAGTAGACCCATATTTAGCCAACTGAAAAATAATAGGGCTCAAACTATTTTTTAAAATAATTTCGGTTCAGACTTAAAATTTTTAAAAAAAAACTTTACACTAGGCTAAAATTTTGAAATATAATATTGTGAATTTTTTCAAAATTTACACTAAAAAAAAGCGCAATTTTTTTTCATTGTTTTCAGATTATTTTTACAATTAAAAAGGTATTCAATTTATGTTTCTTTCACTTTCAAAAATTAGGGATCTGCAGTTTCAGTCCGGGCACCAACTTTTTTTGAAATTCGTCTCGGGCTTGGTTGGGTCTAATATTTTTAATTTGTGGTATGCTTAAATTATAAAATATATTTTAAACAAGACGCCAATAATTTTTTATTTGTTTGTAGAATGATCACAAACTCGTTTGTAAATGCAATAGATGTAAAACTATATTTTAAAAAAAGACTAATTGTATTTAAATAAATTTAATTTTTTTGGGTCGAATAAAAAAGATTCGATCAAGCTTGACAAATTTTGAAAAATAAAATATATACCGTTTGACCATCGACTTATATTAACAGTATGAATTTTACATAAAAATAAAAAAAAACTACTATTATAGATAAAAAAAATTTTAAATATCCCATATGAAATGAACTCCACATAGGTAGGAGTAACTTAGAACTATAAATAAATTCGGGCCGGAATGGGTGCATTAAATAGTTTTATTTTGGGTTGAGCCTTATATGACAAATAATTGGTTCAGGATCGGGGCGTAACAAACAAATTTTATAAAGGAAAACTGGGTCGGGCTTGAAAAATCACGCTCGATGCAGATCACTACGACAAACATAAACGATAATGAGATCCGATATGTCTATGGTGCTTTTTTTATTAATAGTGTAATTAGATTGGACAGATTAAAGAATTGTAACAATTAAAAAAAATTTATGGTCATAAGTTTGGTTAGCGATTCACTATTATCCAAATTTTATCACTATAAAGAAACTTTCATAAAGAATGGAAAATCTATGTTTCATTATTTTATCAATGGAAAAAAAGGAAGGCCGTTTTAAAATATGTGGCAATCCATATGTTAAATATAGAACTTGCAATTAGCAATTTTTTTTAATTTACCCTAAAGGATAGAGAAAATTCAAAGTTTATAATGGAAACTTGAAGAAATGACAAAAGACGAGGTGGGAATTTTTAAAAAAAGTTGAAGTGTTCCAAAAATAAAATATAATGTTGAAAAATATTTTAATTACCTTTTATTTGATACCCATATTACAATAAATAATTTGTCTAGATATATTTTAAGTTTAGTTTTTTACCCTATGAGCCACGAGAACTTTTGTTATGCCTTTGATTAAAAATTCGAAAGATATGGCTATGGCTAGTATAAAATATATCATTATTCGCCGTTAATTAGTTGTAACAAAATATTTTGTTTTGATGTTTATTAAATATTTCATTTTATTCATATTCGCCATCCTTACTAAACACTTGAAACGAATTCTACAAAATATTCTAGCCAATATCGGTGCCCAATTTGGTCATTGCACACGGGGCTCAAAATCTTTTATTGCAAATTCCTCTAATATCTGACTTAAGAATAAATTTATGATAGAATTTTGCGATAATATTGGTCATTGTATTGTAATTAACAAATATCAACATATATATATTTAATTAATTATATACTTTGACAAGGTAAAAAAAAAGAAATCATCTTAGCAATTTAAGCCTTCAAATCATGATCCCGTGTAATAGACTCATTAGAGAATAAGGTATATGTTATATTAATTAATATAGTGATTATCCTAATTTTGTGAAGTGATTTTAGTTTCTAAAAAATACAATATTAATTTATATATAACCTTTTTTATTTTGATTAACCATTTGATTTATTTAATTTTACCATGTTATGAAATTTATAGAGAAACGCCTATAATATTGTATATAATGCCGGACAAGATTACCCCAGAAATAAAACACTGAATAAAAAAATACGTCAATAATTTATTTTAAAAATTGATTCTGAGCCATTTTACTGTAAAAAGTTAGTATAAAACATTTTAGACAGGATCCTACCGCCACTTTTTATTTCTCTGACCCGTGTAATTTATAAGGTGAGTACCCATTATGAAGTGAATATCCTAAGTAATGGCGCATGAATACATGTATTTTTGTATTTGTGCATTTATTTACACTCATCAAATTAAGAAAACTTTTACAAAAATAACAAGTTTTTTTATCAATTATTTATAACATATTAAAATCAATTATACTTACAAAATTTAATTGTAGAAATATTTATCATTTTTTATAGTTTACCTGGTCTCATTAGTTCTTACTATACACATTGTGGTAATATAATAATAAAATATTTAATTCTAGATATCCAGTGGCGTAGCTAAATTTTTTAACTTGAGGGGGGGGCTTATTTTTTTATATTTTCATTCTAACATTAGCGAAAAAGAGATAATTATATTTAAATGAGGTAAAGGGAGATTCTATTTAAAATTAATGCAAATAAAAATAAGTATTTTTACCTAAGCAAAAAAGCTCATATCTAAAAAAATTGATATTTTTCAAGGGCCTCTACAAAATTTTCAGTGGCTTGAACCCCTATGTGCCCCGTCCTAATAACACTGTTGTAGACATCATAAATTGATTTAAGAACTTATTCTTAAATTTATTGCAACTCCAACTTTCAAAAATTATATTTAAAAAAAATCAAATCAAACAAAATTATATAGGGTATGCAGATTATTGAAATAATATTATTATTACTATTTATTTTATTCAAATAATCATAATTATTGCTTATGGCATCACAGTATTCATTTTAGAGTAACTCATTTTGTATTAGTGCTACATATTTATAAAGATGGTCGCCAATTCTTATAAAATGGTTAAAAAAATATGATTGAAAGGAAATGCATCTCTTAAATACCTCCGTCAATATATTTCAAAATATAAATAAAATAAATCAAAATTACATCCTCTCCCCCCACCCTCTTTCAATTTAATTCAAATGACGATAGCTTTCTATGCTGACATAGTGGCATAAACCCCCACCCTTCGTAGTTGAAGTCTCTGACCCAGGGTAAAGCCGTATGACATGGCGGAATATCCTGTTGAAAAATAAACCCGCCATTGGGAATAACACCCAATCAATTCAGTATTATTGAGCTCTTTAGACAAATTATATTAATGGCTTGGGAATTTAAACATCCAGTGATGAAATGCAATATACCTAGATATCTGATAAACTTTATATCCTCATACTATTAGAATTTAAGCAAAAGACTTTGCATGATTTTTGTATACAAGCAATTCGCCGTGCCAATACTTTTGAGGGACCACGAAAAAAATTAATTAAGCAGTTTCTTAAAAAATAATTTATCTAAGCTCGTTTGAATTTTTCATATTGTGACAAAAACTAAATATTATGGTAAAATTTATTGAATTTTAATCATAAATATGTGTAACTCATATTAAAAATGTTAATATAGTGTATATATCGTGTATGTAATCACCAGCTTATCAAATAATCAGTAAAAACTAAAAAAAAAGTAGTTTAAACATTTATCCATCTGGCCAGAGTTGTTAAACGCTACTTTTAAAAGTAGCGCGCTACCGCTATCGTTATTTGTCAAAAAAAAGTAGCGCGCTACCGCTATCACTATTTGTCAAAAAAAGTAGCACGCTATCGCTACTATTTTTTAAAAGTAGCTTTAGCTACTTTTTATAAAATAAATTTAGAAACATATTATGTTATTGTATAGTAAATATATAAAAATCAACATTTATAAATATTAAAATATAGTTAGTTTTGATTATAAAAAATTTTATGTAATAAAAATAAATATTTTGTTGCATTTTATAAGTTTTTACCTTGTGTTATGTGTTTAACTATCTGCCTTGGTACATATATATGATATCTCTGATAACTCTACTATTAGAGCATCTTTTATCACTTTAAAGTTATCAGCATTGGCGTACGCAGCGGGGGGGGCGCAGGGGGACAAATCCCCCCCCCCCAAAGCCAAAAAATTCAGATGCCGGATATATTTTTCAAAAATATTATTGTTTATATTAATTTATATTTGTTAATATTTATTCGTATCTCATATTAAATATATATTATATTACATTTATTATCACATTCATAAGTTATTTTATCAATTAATTTCGATTTCAAGTTTTCCGGCGTAATATTTACTTATTATTTTCAAATTTTTAGT